GGGTGGGGATACACAGTTTGTGTGTTGTCTGCTTGGGAGCAAAACACGCAGAGTCAGGGAAGGGATCCGGTGGAAGGAATGTAGACGGGCGAGTCCCTATCTTCTTCCTCACCTACCAGATCCAGCTCCCGCTCTCGGGGTTCTGAAGCCCGCGCTGCGGTTCTTTCCCCCCAGTGAGAGGGCTCGACGCTCCGCCTGTCTTCCTCCGAGGAGGTTGATGAGGGCGTCAATGAGCTCGCCAGTTGCACAAGCATCAGTTACACAAGCATATTATGCCTAATATTATAATAAGCAGCATTAAAGGGGACTCGGACTGGACGCTATGGTGCAGACTTGGCCGAGGCTTCATCTGTACGCTTTTCCCCCGATCGCTCTGCTCCCGGGGGTTCTGGAGAGGGTACGCCGGGATGGGGTCCGTCTGTTGCTAGTAGCCCCGTTCTGGCCGGCCCGAGTATGGTTCTCAGACTTGGTGTCCCTCCTCGACGGCTCTCGAGTGAACCCTGTTTGGGGAGGCTCATTTCAACCCCTGCTCCAAACTTGTGTTGGGTGTTTTTTTTTTAAGACGTCTGTTGATTGAAGGGGTAACTTAAATAGTTATCTGTTAAGTGAATACGTCTGAAAGTGAGTTGTATCCCCGTTGACTAGCTGATTGCGTTGTAACCATATAGTGTATGTAAATTTACTTTAATCTTACTTTTCTTGTTAAGGTATTAAAAGGTAATGTAACTCCTTTTGGTTTATTTGGTTTGTGCTTAGGTTGGAAGCTGTAGGGAGAAGGTGCCATTTTATTTTGTACTCCTGTTTATCCCTGTTTTTGGTTAGTGAGGGAGTTGAGGAAAGCTTATGTTGATGATTTCTTTTCATTTACTCGCATAGGTTATTTAGTACTCCTCCTGTTAGTCAGCTGCTATTTTGGTTGTTGTTTTGGCCAGGCTCTCTCCTGAAGACATTTACTACTTCCACAATTCTGGCTTTCCTAAATAAAGTAAGTTTGCCAAACTAGGTGGTTTGTGTTTGCATTTTTTTGGAGCAGAGGACTGGAGTGATTCCTCCACGTTTTTTTTCTTCCGTATAAGTTTTAGTTAACCTGTTACTCCCACTCCCAACCCTAGACTGGGGATGGGATCGTAAGAAGTGGGGGCTCGTCCGCTCGTCTCTTAATTGGTTGTTGGTAAGTACTCTTTTCTCTCAGATTGTTTGACTGTTTTCGACTGTAGGTGGGGAGGAAAGTATTGCAGGCATACGGATAATGGAGTTTGACTTTACTGAATTTACTCTTTGTCCTACAATTGAAGCCTTTAATCGTTGTAAGAAAAAAGATCTTATTTTGGTTGCAGAGTTCTTCCGTATTGACGTTCGAAAAGATGTTACAAAGGAAGTGCTTAAGGAGGACCTGTTTGGGAAATTGGTAGATGCGGGTATTTTACCAGAAGAGTCTGAGGGTGGCGTTGAAGTTCAGTCTGAAGTGGCAGTGGAAACTGCAGCTGAAAATGTGAATCTCAGCTCTGTTGTGCCTCATGATCCGAGGATTGCCTTAAAGTTGAAGGAAATTGATCTTTTGATTAAAAAACAGGAGTGTGAGGCAGAAATGATTAGGCTTCGTGTAGTAGAGACACAGGCTGACCGAGATATCCAATTACGTAAATTGGATCTCAAATCGAGGCGGTTGGCTCAAAGGCCAGTTCCATCACCCCGTGCTAGGCCCCCATCAGTCTCATCACCTTTAACATCTGCTGGTAGTAGAGACACGCAGGATTTTTCTCATTCGCCCTCCAGTGATAGTTTTGATGTTAGTAGGTATATTAGACTCGTGCCCCCATTCAGAGAGAAAGAAGTCGACTCCTACTTTGTTGCATTTGAGCGTGTCGCTGGTAAGTTAAGGTGGCCAAAAGATATGTGGGCTCTGTTACTCCAGTGTAGCCTTACAGGGAAAGCACAGGAAGTTTGCTCTGCCCTTCCAATAGAAAGCTCTCTTGACTATGACATTGTTAAATCTGCAGTTTTGCGAGCGTATGAACTTGTCCCTGAGGCCTATAGACAGAGATTCCACACTCATTCAAAAACAGTCAACCAAACTTATGTCGAATTTGTAAGAGAGAAGAGGGTTCTTTTTGAAAAGTGGTGCCTAGCTAGCAAGGTTACTTCCTGGAGGACTTGCAGGAACTAATCTTGTTAGAGGATTTCAAAAATTGTGTTCCTACAAAGATTGTCGTACACTTAAATGAACAAAAAGTGACGTCGTTGGCTAGTGCTGCAGTTTTGGCAGATGAGTTTGTACTGACACACAGGAATGTCTTCTCCATGCACACCTCTGCCAAACCTCCATTGATGCATGTGGAAAGCTTGGGTGCCCCGCCTGTTGTGCACCCGTCTAAAAGTGAGACGCTATCTAAATTTGGTCGTAAGGTTTTGAACAGTGATGAAAGGCGCGTTTGTTTTTTCTGCCTTGATCCAAACCATTTGATTGCAGACTGTAAGGCTTGGAAACAGAAGAGAGTGGCTTCCAAGCCCAAAAATGTAGCACTGGTACATACCTTGTGTAAGGCGAGCTCTCTTAGTGAAGAGAGTTATCAGCCTTTCTTATTTGAAGGCACAGTTTCTCTATCTCCCGATTCTATCGTTAAAACAATAACAATCTTGCGTGACACGGGTGCAGCCCAGTCCTTCATAGCGGCAGACGTCTTGCCTTTTTCGGCTGACTCGTTTACCGGTAACGACATTTTAATTCGTGGAATTAATATGCACTGTGCGAATGTGCCACTTCACAAGGTGTATCTGAAGTCTGACATTGTGAGCGGCCCGGTCAGCTTAGCTGTGCGCCCACAGTTACCTGTTGAGGGGGTTTATCTGATTCTGGGGAATGACCTAGCGGGTGGCACAGTCTTCCCTAGGCCAGTTGTATCGTATAAACCTAGTACTACAAACAAACCTGATTTGTTTGTAGTACAATATACAAACAAACAGGCAGTGAATTTTCCCTCTGCATTTCCCGCTTGTGCCGTTACCCGTGCCCAGTCAAAGAAATTTGAGGAGCTGGTGGATCTCTCAAATTCCTTTCTGGTTAAGGATCCTAACTCTATGGAGTGTGTCCTGTCTATAATTTCTGACCCTGACCTTGCTGTAGCCTCTGAGAAGTTAAACTCTGAAACGCCACTGAAGGCAGATCGAGAACACTTAGCTACAGCACAAAAAACAGACCCTTCCCTAGCCAAGTGTATATTGGCTACAGGTATATAGAAACTTTCGCCCTGGCGATCCCGTGTTGGTTCTACTTCCAAACCCCGGTTCTATTTCACATGCAACATTCTCTGGGCCATACCTGGTTGAAAGGAAGTTAAATGAGACCAACTTTCTTATTGCTACTACTGACAGGAAATTTAAGAGCCGAGTGTGTCATGTAAATAGGCTTAAAAGCTATGTAGACAGACCTCACTCTGAAGTGACTGCAGAGCAGAGTGAGTGTTCTCCGCTGCCTGCCTCTATTGCCACTGTGGGTGTAGTGGCAAATTACTCCTTAGAGGAGGATGGCTTGATGAACAGTGATGTTCCAGTTTCCACTACTCGTCTGAAGAATTCTGCTGTTCTGCAAAATCTTTCACATTTCCTTTCTCATCTGACTGATGAACAGTCTAAGGACGTAATTGAATTACTGTATGCCTTTCCTACACTGTTTAGGGACGTGCCAGGTAGAACTACTGTGTGTGTTCACGACATTGATGTTGGTGATGCTGCCCCCATAAAACAACATCCTTAACCCTCTGGGGTCCGAGGGTGTTTTGGGGCCTGGAAAAGTTTTGACATGCCCTGACATT